AAGTGTTCGCCCAAAACATACAACAACTCAACGAATTAAGACATTTATCTATCGATTCAACGCTTTATTTCAATACAAATGTGATTGCAATTGAATCGATGCCATCCCTGAGATCTTTACACTTGAATTATGAAAACTTTTCTCCCAAAACGTTTCATACATTTACGCAAATCTATCCAAACGTTAAACATTTAAGTCTAACACTTTGTAACATTATATGCGAATCCAATGAACACAATGTGGACACCGATGACGGCGACCATCAAGAATTTTGCCGGCAATGTATATACAAATGCATGCATTCTCTCTCACGATTACCACGACTTAAACGATTGTGTTTTACTATATTATTTGATTGGTGTATTGGATCTAATGATATGAAACTATTCACTGAACTCGACTTCTTGTCGTTGGAGTACTTGATGTCTCCAGAAATTGACATTTTGATTGACTTTGTATTGCATTGTATTGAAAGCAGGGTCTCCAAGAAGTTATTCACACTTAATTTGAATCTCTATATTAAGCACAAACTTATCGATCGTTTAAATGATATGAAAGTTACAATTCCGAAGAATTTTATTATTGCCGATAAACTCATGTATTAATTAAAATAATAGTCAACTAAACGTTTTAATAATTTATAATTTGATTGTGAAATAACTTTTGTGTTAATAATATTTATTTTATAAATCAGTTAAATCTACAAAATAATTGTCAAATAATATATTCAGTCCTTAAAGTTTATAAACTTTAATAAAATAATATCAATTTTACATACAATTTATAAACCCTATACTTAATTAATACAATCAAAAATGTTTGTCAATATTCAACCGCTTGTTATATAATTATAAATAAGTTTTAATTTAAAAAAATAAGTAAATTAAGTGAGAGTTTGGACCAAAACGTTGACACAAATCACTCGGACTTTACATTACGCTTCACTTGAAGCACCTTTTGCTGGACGTCCGCACACTTCTTCATCAACTCCTCCTCAGTCAACCTCTGGAGCTCCAGAACTTCCCTATACTCGTCGCGAACCAACTGTACGTCACTCTGGATCTGCTTCAGGTCGGCGATCATCTGCGAACAGCTCATAACTATTGGCTGGTCATCGGCACCACTGCCACCGCCGGCGCATCCATTATCGGGCCGGCAGTATAACGGCCGACAGAACGCGAGGTTAACCATATCATAACTTAGGTCAAACGTCAGTCGCGAAGGGTTGACCACTAGCTGTTAGTTTTCCATTTGTGTCCATAATCAGTAGCGTTAGTTCCGCACAACTCATCCCACAATACTTACAATGGCCTCCAGAGTGTCCACACAGTTGGCCATCACTTCGCGGCGGCGGAACCGTTGGCCACAACACAGATATCAACTGATTTGACACTAAATTAATGGTAAATATCAACGGATTGTAAGACAACTACACGTTATCACTGGTTTGGCGCCCAATATATTGTTTGGTACATAAATAACGTCCACTAATAGAGTACTACTTTGTATACCCTTTGATAGCTCTTTGATATATTTTATGTACACAAAACATACACAAAAGTCACGTTTGGGGGCTGTTGACATATACTCAACATTACATACCGTTAGTTATTGTATACTAAAGTAGTTGAAAATAAGCGTTTCGTTATTTTTGTTAAAAATTCAAATCAATTGCGAAAATAAATAATGATTTAAAACATGAATTAATTTGTCATTTAATTAATGATTTGTTTAATTAGTTTTAATGCCATTTAATTGGCATTGAATTGAATGCAAAAACAATACATAATAAACACATGTTTTCATAATTAATGGTTAATTGCAATCAAAAAACACATTGAAATACAAAAGTCAATGAAATTTTAGTCAAAGCCTTTTCACGTGTTTGTTATTGTCTTCTGTTGTTGATCTCATTGTCTCACTGCCGACCTTCTGGATCAGCTGCCGATCCTCTGAATGGTAAACACAATGCCCAGACATAAGGGCGAAGAAACTGATTCCTCGTCAGACGAAGACGACGGCAACTTCAAGAGACGGCGCCGACACTCGTCCGATGAGGACAGCAATCAAGACAACAGTAATAGCGGTTACCATCGCTTCGATGTTCGATACGATGACCGCAGGGCTTCGGCCGCCACCACAGGACCCGCCACTAGTCGGCCGTTCCGTGTCGTTGACAGCAGCCGTGACGGCGGCCGCGACGGCGGACCAGCTGTCGATCCGGCGATGATAGCGAAGCAACGGTTGGCCGACTCGAAGAGCGCCCGACTCACTAAATACGACGATGTGTTCACCGATGGTAACGATAGCGGCGATGGTTCTGCGGCCACGAAGACCACCAGCAGAGGCCACTCAAGCAATCGATCTCACGATACCGTTGTGTCCAAAAACAGGTCCACAGCCGACACCGATTCGATGGCCACCGATCGACGAACTGATTCGCGGGTTAAGAAAGAGGAGACCACTATTGAAGTGGTGGTCCCGAGCGACCACACGGACAGCAAAGATGATATAGCAGGTGGTGATCACGAGTTTGGTTTGTAGTGTTTTTTATGTCTATTTTTGCCACGTCTTTGACCGCTATTTTACCAATGATTTTGTTTATTATCCTTAGCAATGGATCCGCGGCTCAGACGCCAGAAGAAGTTTGAGCCCAAGTTCGCCGAAGAGCCGGTCGCTAAACCGAATCCCATACCACTGAAAGAACGCGTTCATCAGCTGCTGAACAAACGTAAACCTCCGGAGGCGTACGACGAGCTGAAACGGGAAGTGATTGCCAACGATCTGTTCAAATACAGGGATCAACTGCTGGAGATGGCCAGAGACTGGTTCCCGTCCATCACATACAACTCGTACGACCCGCGGGCCGTCTACATCGAAACGCCACATATCAATGGCTTCCAGAATCTCATGAGAGATATTTTTACTCTCAAAACCCATTTCCAAGACTTCTGGGAAACCATTATCATTGAGATCAACAAATTCATCGACGAGTCACGGATCAAGTCATTGGTAACCCATTTAAGCCGTTTAAGAGTTTTATCATTTTCACTATTAGTCTTGTGGTTATGTCTCTCTAACTGTTCATTTGATTGTCTGATCCATAGCCGCAACTACTGGCGCGACTCCGATGGCTGTTAGTGAAGGACATACGCCAACATCTGATCGACGAAGAAGTGAAGGTCGGTATCCGGGCGTCTGCTATACTCATCGACCACCGGCTGTCGTTGCAGAGCAACCGCGACAGCCATCGGCGGCAGTTCGAGCAGTCGGTCGGCCAACACAACCGCAAGATAGCGCCCGTCATACCCATGGTCTCAAAGCCCACCACATCATTGTTCTCCGATATGCTTCCGATGGCCCGCAAACCAATCCTCTCAGAGCCCGTCCGCGCCCTATCGCCCACACCTCAGGTCATACCCACACCACTGGCCATTCAAATGGAGACTCCGTTCTCTACTATACCAAAGACGGCGCCGCCGGCAATTGCTGACGAGATGTTGTACGACGCGTTCGGTACGCCTATGACAGGCTTTGCGCCGCCCAAACCAGACCCGCGTCGGGACCCGATGTCCGCCTTTCGCGGCGGCGATAAACAAATCGGAGAGATATTGAAACTAATCAAAGCCGACCAATACTTAAAACTCGTTAACCTCATGAGCCGACACATATCGGCCGCCAACTGGTCAATCATCACCGAGTTTGGCCGCGCGCTCACGTATGTCATGACCCGTATATCGGGCGGTACGGGACCGGGATTTCTAATGTATTGTTTGCTTTTTTTAATAGGGTTTTAGTGAAGGCGAACCCAAAGGTGTCCATAACGGAGATATTCCGCAAAATACACGACTCGTTCAAAATATACGCGAGTTTTTCGGACCAATTACTTAAGGAGACGTACGAACGGTTCCTAAAGGAGTTCTTCGACACCACAACTTCCGCATACAATGTGAAGGAGTGGCTACTCATGAGGGACTTTACCACCGCTAATCTGCCGCACATCGAGAACAACCCTTACAACGAGAGGCTGCGGCTCGTGAAGCACAACGTGTCCCCATATATCGACTACAGCCGCGCTTCGGAAGGACTGGTCGTGAATTACGGCGATGTGGAGCGCGACGTACCGCTGATGAACGCCAAGAGTACGATACTGAATGACCCGCGGGTTGAGTGCCGGTCGGACGAGTCGAGCCGACCCAAGACAGTCAAACTGAACATTAAATTCGACAAATTTGATAAACAAGAGCTCAAGAAGATTGTCCGCAAAGTGACCGTCTCTTCGGACGAGTCCGACGACGATAACTGATTGTCCCATTGATTGGTTCTAAGACAGTCAAACTGAACATTAAATTCGACAAATTTGATAAACAAGAGCTCAAGAAGATTGTCCGCAAAGTGACCGTCTCTTCGGACGAGTCCGACGACGATAACTGATTGTCCCATTGATTGGTTCGCCGAATAACTGATCCGTCCCTTACGGACACTAATCATTTCAATTATCAACAAAATACCTATAAATACACGCAAACTATTTGTTATAATAATCATATCAATAATAATCTATTGTTTTTTTCTTTTAATTTTTCTAATTTTTATATTTCATTATAAGTTCATAAATATATGCCTTTCCTTTCGAATACAGTATTTGTTTATTAAGAAAAATTTGTTACAAAAGAAGAAAAATATAATTTTTAATTAAAAGTTTTAATTTGTAAAATTGTTTTACACCGTTATGCACTGTATTGTACGTGAATACCCGTTATAAGTGGTGAGTGTGGGTCTCGCCCGCAACGCATAGCGCCTACGCTGGTGTGCATACCATATGGTAAACAGCTTACAGGGGTGTGAGAGTTAGTGTATGGTCTGTGTGTGTGGGCTCAAGCACTCACACAGTCGTGCCGCGCAGTGAAGCGGCGGCTGTAGGCGAGAGAGTAATACTGTAGAAACAGGTTTAAAGGGGGACTCTATTGGGAGAGAGAGAGAGATGGGGAGAGAAAAGCATATGATTTTAATTGATTCACATATTATATGAACACACCGTTGAAAGTGGACGTAATTGTTGGCCGAAAGGCGCATAGGGTTTGTGAGAGAGGGAGAGAGCAGTGGGTAATACAGCTCTGTGTGTGAGCGCTATAGTGAGCTATACTCTCGACAGTGCCCTAGCATTGCATATTGTGAAGTGAATTGACTCGTTATAATCAATTGCATTGCAATACGATTACAGCACATATATAGTGTACGGCTCGGTGTGTGTGACTGTGTCTCTGTGTGTATAGTGTATTATCCAAGTGTTGAATCCAGTGTTTCTCCAAGTGTGGGATCTATTGAATGGTGTGAATCAGTGGTGAGACCACTGAATACTTAGATGAATGTCTCATCACGAAGGTATGTCTGAAGCAACTGATCCCAAATGTCTCCCATAGACACACACTCTCACAGCCCATAGAGTTAGCATTGCTATCGCCTTATGCTTATTGAATGCCATTCAAAATGGCTCTCAATATATCTATGCTATATATTTCGCATACACTATGCGTTTATACACTATATATCGGTTTGATTTTTATATTTGTCTGTTTGGTGGCCATCGATTGCCATCAGCTCATCCTCTGGTGATGTCTTGAGATAATATTCTAGCCGTATATTACATACACGTATCCATTGAATGGCCACTGATTTAGGCATTTCGTACAAATGGTATGGCTTTGGGTTCATAATCCCCATACCATTGGCCATACATTGAACCCACCGTTCATATCATGATTAAGTCATTGTAACCACTATTAACCCGATATAATTAACATGGCCATTAGTGTACAGTTAGCCTTTAGTACCTGTATTAATTACTAGCCGAGCTTGATCAGTTTTAAACGTTGCCTTACATTAAATATTCACACCATTAATTGGTATATCACACCCGCATATGTCTGGTTGGTGTTAACCCAATGGCATGTAAATCGTGATAGTAGTGTACACCTGTATATAGTGAACGCTTTTTATACATTTGTTATATTAATAAAATTATTTGTTATACAAAATAGTATCTAATTTTTGATATTTTGTTTTTAGTTATGTTTTATTTCATTCACGAAACGTAACGCTTTTTGTAAAGAAAAATAGTTATAAAATTAATAATCAATACATTATAAGAGATCTACACTATTATAATAAACCGTATTATTTAATAACATTATATACACTATTAACAGCTTATAATGTACTTATATTTCATATAATAATAACAAATAACACAATAAAAAAGCAATACTTATATTGTTTTTAATATTGAATGAGAAAATAATAAAATCTAATTTACATTAATGTCTTCGCCACACATGAAAAGCTCCAGCGATTCCCT